GTTGTATTTTTTATCAAAATTATTAGTGAATTGTTTGATCCGTGGAATGAGAGTTTTGAATGTTTCCCTTCAAGGTTTACGACATTATATCTGGTATTCGTGTTCAACTTTGTTAGTTGTTTTTCGTATTTATCAAACTGTAGTCACGAACCCAGATTAACCAACAAGTTCAAGTAAAAACCATTAAAACTGATATTAACTAATTCTGACTACTTGTCTTATCAGAGTTTCAAAATTTTAATTGAATTAATTTTTAATTAATCTAGATTTTACAACTTTCAATAATTCCGAAGTTGTACAAATGTTACTGTTCTTTTTCTTTTACTAAACACATTATTTGTTCTGGATCAAACATAGCATGAAAACAACCAAATAAGCAAAAAAAGGGAGAAGTGATGCCTGTAAGAATCAACAATTGAATTCTTTATGTTAAAAAATATATACTTGAGACTCACAAACCACCAGCAGATGCAATATTCACGCATTCGCTACCATTCAAACTATCTACTTCAGATGCATCAACTCCTCTTTACTTAATACATACGGATGTTGGGGTCCTGGATCCATACAATCAACTTCTGGTTTTAGGTTTTATATTCTTTTCATTGATGATTATAGTAGGTATACCTGGATATACTCAATGAGAAAAACTTATTTACTCAATTCAAAAGTTCAATTGAAAACAAGTTTAATAGGAAAATAAAGTCACTACAGTCAGACTGGGGATGTGAGCTTAGGGCCTTTACTGATTTAGCTCAAGAGTCTGGCATTAATATGAGACTGTCATGTCCTCACACCTCAGCTCAAGATGGTAAAGCTGAAAAAAACACATGCACATAATAGAAACTGGCCTAACTCTCCTTGCTCAAGCTAGTATGTCTTGCATTATTGGTGGGAGTCCTTTTACACAACCACTTATCTCATCAACAAATTACCTACACATGTTCTTAAAATGAAGTCAACATCTCAATTTCTGAACAAATGAGCAAACTGACTACAAACATCTTAAAAAATTTAGGTGTGCTGCTTTCCTTGCCTAAGACCTTATCAAAATCACAAGTTCAGTATTCACTCTATCAAAATGTGTAGTCCTTGGGTTCAGTAACTCACGTAAAGCATATAAATGTCTTAGTCCAACTGGTAGAGTCTACATATCCAGACATGTAATCTTCAATGAAAAGGAGTTTCCATTCCAGTCTGGATTTCTCAACAAAAGCAACAATTCACCCAAATCTCAAACAATTGTTCAATACCTGCCAATTCATACCTCTCTAAACTCTAATTCTATGTGCTTAACTGATACAACTCATACTGATGCAACTCCACCAGCAACATCTCAAAGATTTGATCAACTAGAAATATCTGAAAATGAGACACGTGAAGTGAATGAGAATCAGAACTCAAAAACAAGCAATGAACACACTCAAAGAGGAAATCAAGAAAGAGCTGAAAATGATGAAATAGAGGAGACCGAAATGGTTGGAGAGCCAAATCAAGGTGAAGCAGAGCTAAGGAGATAGAATTTTGAGCATCCTATGGTTACCAGGAGTGAAGCTGGTATCTTCAAACCACAAAGGTGTACTCAACTCAATGCCAGGAATACATATTTGATCTAAATAGTGTTGAACCAAACGATTTACCTGAGGCCTTGTCCAACAAAAATTGGAGAGGAGCACTAGAGGATGAATACAGAGCCTTGATAAGAAACAATATTTGAAAATTAATGCCACCATTGAAAATCATAAGGTGATAGGAAACAAGTGGGTATTTAGGCTGAAACGAGATGTTGAAGGAAGAGTTTTAAAGTACAAGACTAGGCTTGTTGCAAAAAGATTCCTACAAACTTCAAGTGTTGATTATCATGAAACCTTTAGCTCAGTAATAAAGGCATCTACCCTAAGAATAATTCTTTCACTTGCTATCTCAAATGACTGGAGTATTAGACAAGTTGACATTAACAATGTCTTCTTGAATGGAAAGCTAAATGAAGTAGTATATATGAACCAACCAGAAGGTTTTGTTGACAAAGCCAATCTCACTTTTGTATGCAAATTTGAAAAGGCCATGTATGGACTCAAGTAAGCACCACAAGCTTGGTATGAAAGGTTAAAAAAGACACTTTCAGAGTGGAAGTTTATCAAGTCCAATGCAAACAGCTCACTGTTCTTTTATATGAATCAGAGGCAAGTGATGTCCGTCGTAGTGTATGTTGATGATATAGTAATTGTTACTTTTTTTATATTGCAAGTGTACGATATGCTAACAAGTAGTATAGTGGACCTTTGAGTCTGGATATCGTTCCCACAAAGACTATACTTTAGGATTTAATCTAATTTTTCTTAACTCCTATTTGACAAAACCAAGTGAATATTTATGATGATTGTGTTTATTTTTCCTAACTACTTTTGACTAATTGAAAATATAAAATGATTGCAAACAATTGATAATTGAAGAAACAAATATGTAATGAATATTAAGGCATAATAATATCATCTATTGATCACTTTTATTCTTATTTCAAGATTCATAACCTAATGTAAGTGTTCGATCGAATTCTTCTATTGTATTCAATTTACCCCTCTAGAGTTCTCATTGAACATATTTAATTAATTCAATTTCATATCTTTATGTGAATCAACTTTAGTTAAACGAAACATTGGTTCTAAAAATTCATATTATAATCGCAATAATTAGTATATGTATCTCTACATGTTATACTAATTTATAGAATTTTATTATATAGTCTAAATCTCAAACTCACCTCTTGATTCGTAAAAAACTCACATAATCATCAAATTATTGATCAGATAATTTAATGTATTAAACTCATAATAAAACCAACACATAAATAAATAAATCATAGCGATCTTGAATTTGAAAATAAATGATCACAAGTCGATTACATTATTTTCGTAATATAAAATTAGTTATTCATATTGTAAAAATAAAAACACCCAAATCTGAAAATATACCACCATAATTGACGAAATGTGAAAATTTCTGGTGTTTGCAGTTCTTTTTCTTTTTTCCTTCTTTTCTTTTCTTCTTTTTCTCTTCCCTTTCTTCCTCTGCCATTTTTTCCTCCTACCTTGACTTTTTTTTTTCCTTTTCTTCTTCTTTTCTCTCTTTCTTTTTCTTTTCTTTTCTTCTTTCTTTTTTCTTCTTTCTTTCCTTTGTTCCTGTGCCGTTTTCCTCTCTGCGTGTTTCTCTTATGCCTCTTCACTCCGTGTGTGTGTGTGTGTGTATATATATATATATGTATATATATATAATTTGGGCCTCCAATTAAAATTTCCATTACAAATCAATTGAGGCTCATTTCATTCAAACTCATTTAACATAATATTTCTTTCCAAGGTTTTATCTTTGAATTTTGTCATTTGTTGCCACTTTTGCATTTTTTCTTCAATTCTTCATTAAACATAAAGTTTTACTTATAAAACACAATATAATATAAATTATGTAGAATTTAATCCAAAAGATAATAAAATATCATGATTTAAGGCCACCAATAAGTGTATAAACTATATTTACAAATAATTACTCGTAATAATCAAAATATGCTGCAAAGCTTCATTGACAGCCTAAACACACAGTTCGCACTAAAGAATATAGGTGAATTGTATCAATTCCTTGGAATTGAGGTAAGAAAGTGTGAATCGAGAATGCTCCTCACTCAGGTTAAGTACATAAAGGATTTATTGAAACGTTTTAGTTTTGAGCATTTTAAACCTTGTGCAACACCTATGACAGTAGGCAAGTACATTTCCAAGAATGAAGGTGAGAACATGGTAAACCCTTCCTTGTACAGAAGTGCAATAGGTAGACTGCAATATCTGAGACATACACAAACTAATATAACTTTTGTGGTGAATAAGTTGAGTCAATTCCTACAAACTCCTTCAGATGTGCATTGGAACGCAGTGAGGAGGATTTTTAGATACTTGAAAGGAACAATTGAACAAGTTTATGGATACAAAGAAGTGACAGAATGGATATCACTGGATTCGCTGATGTAGATTGGGCTTCATGTCCTGATGACCGAAGATCGACAACTGGTTATTGTATCTATTTAGGAGATACGTTAGTGGCCTGGTCCTCAAAGAAACAGCAGATAGTAGCAAGGTCAAACACTGAATCTCAGTACAGAGCTCTAGCACAAGCCTCTGCTGAAATAACTTGGATTGAGTCATTGCTTAAAGAAATCAAATTACAACCAGTCTCATCTCCTGTCCTTTGGTGTGATAATCTTAGTGCAAGTGTCTTAGCTTCTAATCCAGTTTACCATACACGAACAAAACACATTGAATTAGATATACATTTTGTCAGGAATAAAGTTCTTGAAGGGAAGTTAAAAATACAGTATGTTCCATCATCATACCAAATTGCAAATTTACTGACGAAACCTCTTGCTCAAACCAGATTTCTATTTCTCAAGGACAGGCTTGGAGTAAAGGAATAAACTCCATCTTGAAGGAGGATGTTAAAACATATATACTTGAGGCTCACAAACCACCAGCAGATGCAATATTCACGCCAATTTTGAGAGCTGCTATTGTGCACCTTGGGGCCACAATTGGTTGTTATGACCATATTGATTCTCACGTGTACATCACATTTTTTACTTGCTAATCACTCCAGTAACTTGTATATATATTCAGCCTCTGTGTTTTGTAATTAATAGGTTAAAATATTAATCATCTTCTTCTTCTCCTCCTCATTCAATTGCTCATTAGTTCAGCACTTTGTTTTATTCTGTTTTTTAACTCTTTATAAGATCATGGTCTGGTCTGCATATATAATTAGTAAGCTGGGAACATAACATTAAGTCGACAAACTTGAATGTTGAAAGAAAAAAGTAAAGAAGAATAGAAGATTTAAAACAAATTTGATCACAACTTTTCCTTGTTTAAACACAGTACCTCATAGACATTTTATCTACTAAATTTGTGTCACTGCCCTGTTGTGTTCGTGATGAGAATAGAACAGGTTGTTCCAGCTCAACACCGTCTAGAGATGGGAGATTTCATTTCGTTCCTTATGGTTTTGTATAGAGCAGTATCAGAATAGACAGCACGAGACCTTAGTCTATGCATATGCCTATAACCTTTTCGTCGCTGATTGTGCCCTTTCTCTTTATTTCTTTCTTCTTTTTCTTGATTGATTTCATTCCCATTTTCTTGCAATTTTCCCTCACTAATTTCTTCATGTTGTACTTCCTTTGGATCACTCTCTTTTAGTTTACACTCTGTGGGAGCAATATACACAAAGGAACCAACTGGAACATCATTTAATTCCAAGACAGGCTCCAAGATTTTCACAGCCTTATTCATTGTTGGCCTGGATTTAGGGTTGTGGCTCAAGCATTGAAAAGCCAATACAGCAACTTTCTTGGCACCTTCAATTGAATATTGACATTCAAGTCTTGGATCCATTATTCTGTCTAGCCTATGAGGATCCTTCAGAAAAGGTCTTGCCCACTTCGTCAGATTCTGCTCTCTAGCAGGACGGTTCTTATCCATTGCCCGTTTCCCAGTGAGTAATTCTAACAGAACCACGCCAAAGCTGTAAACATCATTCATCGTCGTCAAGTGACCTGGAATATACAAGATTTAGAGTCATATTTTCGTAACAATCCAGTAAGGAAATTTCTTGGTTGACAATTGTTGGGCCCTGATACCACTTATTGTGTGGGAAGCCTCGAGATTTGATTTTAAATAAAATACGTAATAGAAATAAGGAATCGATGTGGTGTGACACTGGGCCTATTCTACGTGAAATTTATCTTCAGAATCATCAAACAACAACAATTGAGTATCTTACCAGTCATAACATATTCAGGTGCTGCATAGCCATGGGTGCCCATGACACGCGTTGACACGTGAGTTTCATTTTCGTCCGGACCATCCTTTGCTAGCCCAAAATCTGAAAGCTTAGCAGTATAGTCCTGGTAAATAAACAAAGATTTTGATTAAATGATGGTAAAAGAAGGCAAGGCATAAATAAAAATACTAGAGAAGAAGACAATTTACGGAGTCTAGCAGTATGTTTGAAGTCTTAAAATCCCTATATATCACTGGTTTCTCTTCGCCATGAAGAAATGCTAGGCCTTTTGCAGCACCAACCGCAATTTTTATCCTCGTCAACCATGGCAACGAACTAGTATATCCTGCATTAGTCAATGTCTATATAATTTTTTACTTTATTCTCATTAAGATGGAGGCTTGTATATATTAATTAAGATGGTAAACTTACTTCGGAATAATTGATTTTCTAGGTTGCCTCTAGCCATGTATTCATAAACAAGAAGCCTGTGCTCATCTTCACAACAATATCCAATCAATTTCACAAGATGGGGGTGCCTTAGTTGCCCGAGAAGGACGACTTCAGTCTACAAACATAAAACAAAATTATGCAATGGAACAAAAATAGTGAAAAGAGAAAAAAGAAAATTAAAAGATTGTTGAGTTCTCACCATCCACTCCCTGTGGCCCTGTGTGCCGTCCAAATCAAGTAACTTAACAGCAACAGGCTGAGCCTCCATTCCCGGCCTACACTTGTCATCAACAAATCCCTTGTGCACCGGCCCGAATCCTCCTTCACCAAGATAATTACTTGATGAAAAGTCATTTGTAATCTCTTTAAGTTCTGCCAGTGAGAAAATGTGAAGATTTGATGCAATGACAGAATTAGAGAGATCACTTGCAGAAAGCGGCGAGCCGGGATCACTTATATCAGCAAGTGATAACCTTCGGACATAATCTTGTTTCAACACTCTACACCTGGATTCTGTAGGCAGGCTCTTGGCCTTGATACAACTGAATAGGAAAAATTTCCATGTAATCTTCGGAGCCATAATATTATAACTTATGAGAAATGTTCAATACAAAAAAAATGGCAGATGTATGTGTGTATATATAGACAAGAAAAAATATGTGGAGTTGAGGAAAACAAAAAACGATGGCGGCCGAGATTTCGGATTTCTGAGGACTATAATGATTACAAAGAATCCTATATTTCCCGTTTGTGAATAGTTAGACATGGAAATCTACGAGGTCTGAAGGAAGATAAGATTGTGTGTACGCTAAGAGGTCTTCGGACTTTCAAAAATTGTTGGACTGTACAGCAAAACTTTTAAATACTCATACAATAAACTAGGTGCAAGTAACGTGCAATGCACGTTTGCCTAGTTTATATTTAATAGTTTTGTTTAAGAATTAATTTGTTATTAATAAAGATGTAATTTTTTTGGTTAATTAAATAATTAATGATGTAATGTTTATGTAATTGATAAATAATTAGATGTGTGATTTTGATGTTGTGA